GAGCCTTGTCTTGGCTGCCTCCACTTTCCTTTTCTCCGGCTTATCTTCCCCTTCTCCTCCACCTTTCCATTTTCCTTTCCAGGACCCAGCGCCAGTGAGGTATGCTCTGGGGACCAGGGGCACCATGCTAAACCAGGAACTGTCCCCAGAGATGGGGAGCTGGGCGGAACCCAGGGCCAAAGTGGGGAGGCCCAGGGATTGTCCAGAGCAGAACATGCACATTTCTCTTCCTGAATAATGTTATAGTTATATTTTTCTCCCACCTTCTGGGGTGACTGGCAAGTTGCCTCCTCTCTCTGAGCCCATTTCCCTATCTATAAAATGAGGCAAGCAAGGCAGGCTCTGGGAGATGGTAAATGGGGCCCGTGCTTCCCTCTCCCCTACCCCCCTCGGCAGCCGGAACTGTGTCCCTCTCCATCTTCATTCTCCTCCCTCCCTCCCCTCTCCTCTTGCTTGTCACTTTGTCCTGCTTCCTCCCCCAATCCCAAAGCCTCCCTTGGGTCCCAAAATGTCTGTAAAATGGTCATTAGCTTTCCTTCTGGCTCATTAAAAATGAGAATTTGCATAGAATATCCATATGATCATTCTGTCTACAGCAAAATCGGACGTGGATATAAGGCACCATGCAAGTCAGGAAGAAAGGGGAGGACAGTCACAATGGGAGGGGGGAGAACCCCAATCAGGAAGAGGCCAAGTGCTCACCACTGGGGTCTCAGGCCTCAAAATCAGCCCCCCTCGGGCCCTTTCTTGGCCTTTTTGATGGCTAATTCACCTGTTTTTGTCATTCTTACAATAGCCAGCCAAGTAGGGACTGCAATTATCCCCATTTTACAGGTGGATAAACTGAGAGGCAAAGAGGAAGAGTGGCTGTCCAAAGACACACAGCAAGGATGTGGCACTCCTGGGGGGCAGCACTCTCTGCCATGGGCCAGGCTCCCCCAACCCACGTAGGCCTGCTGGTCTCCCAGGAAGGCTGCCCCTCCTCACTCTCAGGAGGAAGATGTCAGGAAGAGCCACACCAGTCATGCAGTTCTCCCACCCAGAACACCCTCCTGCTCCTCTGGGACAGGCCCACCTGTCCTTTAACTCTCCTCCCGTCACCCCTCCTCGAGGAAGCCCCCCCTCCCCAAAACAACTGTTTAGTCAGATGCAGAGATTTCTGGAGACAAAAGTGTCCAAACCTCTTCTCCCAGCTATAAACAGCTGGCCCTTGAACAACACGGGTTTGAACTGTGCAGGTCCACTTGTATGTGGATTTTTCTTGATACAGTACAGTGCTATAAATGTATTTTCTCTTCCTTAGGATTTTCTGGATAACATTTTCTTTTTTCTAGCTTGCTTTATTGGAATAGCACAGTATACACCTATAACATACAAAATACGTGTTAATCAACTGTTTACGTTATCAGTGAAGTTTCCGGTCAACAAGAGGCTATTAATAGTTAAGCTTTGAGGGAGTCAAAACTTATATGCAGATGTTCAACTGCGCAGGGTTTGGCACCCCTAACCCTTGTGCTGCGCAAGGATCACCTGTAATTACATTTAGACCTGCCTCATCCCAAAAAGAATTCGCAGCAGTGCCCAGAAATAAATATACTTGGCAAAAAAGAATTTGATAACAGAATCAAGGGAAAGGAACCTGCACCTTACAGATGAGGCCTTGCTCAGCAGCCACAGACTGGCAGAGAACTGGCAGTCTGTTGGGACCAGAGCCAACCTGGACGTCCCCAAATGTCCGGCCTTGGGGGGGAAGGGGGGCGCGCACTGCCACTGTCCATGGTGCTGAACCCAGGAGTGCATGGGCGACCTCCCATCCACATGCAATCTAGGAGCAAGTCCTTCCGGCTTGAGCTTCAAAATACACCCTAAATCTGTCCCTTCTCATCATCCCCACCCCCAGTCTAAACCATCAACGTTTCTCACCTGTGGAGGAGGAGTGGCCTCCTCACTGGCATTCCTGCCTCAGCCCCTGCCCTCACACAACAGCTGGAAAGCTCCTATTAAACCCAAGTCTGTTAACATTCCTCCCCTGCTCACAATCCTCCAATAGTTCCCATCTCATTCAGAACAAAAGCTAAGATCCTCCCAGTGGCCCACAAGGCCACGTGATCTGCCCCTCTTCTACTTCCCTCTACCTCACTCACTCTGCTCCTGCCTCTTGGTTATTCCCCAAATGCCAGGCAGGCTCCCACATCAGGGCCTTTGCACTTGCTGGTGTCTCTGCCTGGGGCACTCTTCCCAGAGATCACAAGCCTCACTCTCTTACTGCATTTGGGGCTCTGCTCAAATGCTACCTCTTCAGAAAGGCCTTCCCTGACCACCTTATATGAGATAATCTCCCCTACCTGGCCCTCTCTGCCCACTTACGCTGCTTTATTCTTCTCCATAACATGCCATCAGCTCCTATCTGAAATTGTATTATATAATGATGCATTTACTTGTTTGCGTAAGCTCCTCTGGCCCTCTCCCCAAATGGGAGCTCACAAGGCCAAGGATCTTCATCTGTTTGGTCCACTGCCATATGCCCGGTATCCTGGTGCAATGCCTGGTACACAGTAGGTGCTCAATAAATATTTATCCAGCAAATGAATGAATTACCATACAGAGGTGAGAGAGGAAGTGACTGAAGAGGAGAAGAAATGCCCCTCTCCTCACCAGCTACATCCCACAAAGCTGGCTCTATGTGATTTAGAGGCCTGGACTCCATCTTTCTGAGTCCCCCAAAACCCCAGGAACATAAGGGAAACCAGCATTGAAGGAGTGACCACCAAGGGATATGTCCCTCCCCACCTCTGGGGCTTGTTAGACAGGATCTCTCACAGACTCCTACACAATCACCATGACTTGGTGACTCCTGATCCATCCCCCCCAACCCCCCCCACACACACACTCCCCATCAGAGGAGCCCCTCCACCTCCTCCTTCTCCCCTGGTCCTGAGCAGAACCTCTGGCCTTTGTTGGGGGCAGTCCTCCTATGTCCCTCCCCACAGCTGACCCATCAGTGTCTCCCTGGAGAAAGACAGGTGACAGGAACAAATACTTCATTGAGGGAAGACTCCACCTTCCTTCTCTCAAGCTCCCGAGTCACACAAACCTAAGTGCCAACCCCACCTCAGCCACTGACAAGCAGTGGGGGCCCAGGCTCTCCTGTGGGCATGCTGAGCCACACTCACTTCTATTTAAAAAAAAAAAAAAGGACAATTCTCAGAGTGGCTGTGTAGGGGCTGACACTGGGGCCAGAGCCTGGCAGCTTCTGTGAGGATGGTTAATGAGATGTCCCTAAGAAATATGTATATTAAAACACAAGGAGACAGGCACTGGGGTGGCTCAGTCAGTGAAGCATCTGCCTTCGGCTCAGGTCATGATCCTGGGGTCCTGGGATCCAGTCCTGCATTGGGCTACCTGCTCAGCAGGGAGCCTACTTCTCCCTCTGCCTGCCGCTCCCCCTGCTTGTGCACTCTCTCTCTCTCTGACAAATAAAACCTTTAAAAAAAAAAAGAGATTCAGGGGTCTTCACCCAGGCCAGGCCAGGCTGGCTGAGGGGCCAATGCAGGAGTTGGAGCCTGTTGGGGCTCAAAGACTCTGGGCAGAGGGCTGGTGGACACGGAATAATAAGCAAAAATGGCTACAAGCATCCCTCAGTGTGTCCACCTGTGTGAGCCCATTGAAGAAGGCACCCAGCCCCTTCCTGGTCTTACCAATGAAGAACAGGAGGCTCAGGAAGGGAAAGGGACTTGCCTAAGGTCACATAGGAGTAGAGGATGAGTCTGAGACACCCAGGACACTCAACAGCCCCATACAGGCCTGAAGTAGGAAGTCTCAGGGTGACAAAGAAAGAAAACGGTGAGCTCACAGGGTCTTTCCAGAGCTGCAGGGAAAAAGCAGTATGGGGCTTGCTTCAGCTACATCTCCAAGGAGCTCAGAGTGGGGGGTACTGGGGACCCCACCTCTGACAGGAAAACAGGCTGAAGTCCAGCAGTCAGCCAACAGGTGAAGAGGGTCCCTGGAGGTCAAGTCCCAAACCCGAGCAGGGAAGGTCACTGGCCTTCACCGCTTGCTCTTTAACAAAGGGGAAGAGCTCAGAAGGGATCAGGTTAGTGTGCACAGGGCTCCTCTGTGGGCTCAGGTTGGGGCCCAGCAACAAGAGACATACTGGAAGCTGGAGGCCAACCCTATGGTACCTGGACTTCCATGTGTCGAGGACAGATAGAAAAGCCGAGAGAGGCACCTGGGTGGCTCAGTTGGTTAAACGTCTGCCTTCAGCTCAGATCGTGATCCCAGGGTCCTGGGATCAAGCCCCACATTGGGCTCCCTGTTCAGGGGGGAGTCTGCTTCTCTGCCCCTCCCCTGGCTTGTGCTCTCTCTCACTCGCTTACTCACTCTCTCTCTCTCAAATAAATAAATAAAATCTTAAAAAAAAAAAAAAAGCCAAGAGAGGTGAGTGAGGCATGCAGAGCTGCACGCTGGGGCAGCTCCGAGGTCCCCTAACCCATCACCTTCACGTTGGTCATCAAGCTGACACTCCACAAGGGAAAGTGACAGGCCCAGGGTTACGTGGCCACCCAAAGACAGAGGCAGAACTAGACTGGGCCCCCGCGCCCCCATTCTGATTAGTCACGGCGACAACTGACACCTTTGGCAGCATGGTGTTTCGTGTGCTGAGGGCCTTACGCCGATTCACTCACTTCATGCTCACAGCAACCTAAAAAGCGGGTACTATCGATATCCACCTTTCACCAGGTGGAAACTGAGGCCCAGAGACCCTGAGGGACCGCTCACGGTGGTGCAGCTCCTGGTGGCAGAGCCAGCATCTGGACTCTCAACCACTCTGCCCTATTGCAGCGTCCAGGGGACAGGGTTCAGAAGGTCAAAGCTACAACGGGGCTGCCACCAACAAAGGGAAGTTTTTTTAAACCCCAAAGAAATATTCAAATGTGTTCCACAAAGGAGGCTGGTGAGAGAAAATGTTGCTTCCTGTCCAAGAGGGCAGGCATGCAAACTCAGAGCAACAAGGCCTTGGCGGCTAACATCTTCCTCCTCCTGTCACTCCCGTCAAGCTTGGAGGCAAACGCAGAACGGATCACGGCCCCGCTGTGATAGGCCAGGGTGAACACATCAAAGACGAACTGCAGAGAGCAGGAAAAGTGACCCAATGACACCCAACCCAGGGGACTCACAGAATCAAGAGGTGTCAGCACCCTGCCAAAGGCCAGAGTGGCAGAGAAATCAGAGTGGACAGGCCAAGTCTCCAAGGCGGCCCAGGCAAGTTCGGGCTTCGTCTTCACAGCAGTACGGAGATTGACCTGGCAATCACCAAGCAGTCACATTGATGCCAGCACCTTGCCAATCTCCAAGCGCCAGCCAGGAGACCCAGCTGGCGCACGGCGGGCCTCGTGGCCCGGCAGGGAGTGCGCATGCCAGGTCCACTTAATTTCCACCTACGTTAGAGTGACGGGCAGCAGACCAAGGCAGTGGAAGACGTGATGGGTCTCAAGTTCAGGGCAGCCTGGTTGCTAAGCTAGAATGGTGGCGACTGGCTGCGAGGTGGGGCCCACTTCTGCTCAGCATCCTTGGAGAATGCATGGCCGGTGGGCAGGGCATCCTGGGCCCTGGCTGCCCGGTCCCTGTGCTGTGGCTTCAGGAAGCACCTGGGGGGAGAGTCCAGAGGTCTCCCCCCGAGAAGATGCTGCAAGCTCATACACACCAAGCTAAAGCCAGTGGCAGGACTCCTCCCTGCTTCTGGCCCCCCGGCCCCTTGGCTAACGTCAACCACATTTCATCTGACTGGGGGTGAGAAGATTGCATGCTCCAGGCTCTGTCCCTGTGCAATTGGTCCCAATCATCCCTGAACCAAAAGACCAAACTCTGAAGCATCCCCATTTGACACCCATTCCTTTAGGTCTTGAGGGATGTCTTCTTTTCCAGCGCTTCTATGAGAGCCTTTGTTGATGGAGAAAAACGCCTGGAGCCCGGCACCCTGGACTGTGAGGACACAGCCTATGGGGGGCAGAGCTAGACGCTGGAGATGAGCTGACTCTCCTGTTACAGAGGAGAGAAGGAGGCCCCAGAAGGGCAGTGACAGACCCAAGGACACAGGGCTGGTCATCTGTTGGCTCACGTGTTCATTCTATCAACATCTATTAAGGCCCCGCTGTGTGCAAGGGAGGGCGAGAAGCACAGAGCCAAGTGAGCCCTGTCCTTCCCCAGCATCAGGGGGCGCAGAGCCATATGAAAGAGGCTCAGGGAAAGTTCAGTAGGCACTGTGGTGGGTGTACTTGAGGCTTCCCAGGTGGTGAGCCCTGGGGACCATCATCCTCCCTCCAGGTGAGCATCTCTGCATGGGGGGAGAGCAGATGAGGGAAGCCTGCAGGGAGGCAGGGCCTTGGCCTGAGCCTTAAGGGCAGAGAGGACCCCCCAGGGTCCTGAGCAAGTGGGACACAGCAGGTGGAAATGGTGTGTGCTAATACATTCCCTGGGGTAAGCCGACATGACCCCAGCTGCCAAAAAAAATTAAAATACAGCATTGGCTTGAAAAAACTCTGCTCAGCTCTGTCTTGCATTGGTCCCTGTCCCATGGCCACTAGGACCAGGCCAAGCCCCTCAGCGGGGTCCCATCTGCCTGACTCACTCCTACCTCTTGCTCATGCTGTTACCCCAGCTGGCATGCCCTTCCCCTCCTCTTCACTTGTCTAAGCCCGTCTTGCTGGGCCAGGTCCCATGCAGCCCTGCAGTATAGCTCTTCCTTTAACAGATGCATCATCACATCCCTTCATTCACTTATTCAGGCAAACTCTACTGAGTCCTACTGCACGCAGGGCAGGGCGTGAGGTCTGGTGGTGTACCGCTCCTCCCGTGCCCACCGAGAGCCAGCAGGGCCCCTAACTCCTCTCCTCACACTGGGGCTGCCTACATGGGGGGTGCGAAGCCTAAGCCAGCTGGGAAACTCAAGCAGGTCTGGAAGGCTGAGCATCTTCCCCTTCCTGCCCTCCGGGGCAGGCAGCTCCTCAGGATGAAGAATCCCAAGACAGGCACTGTCGCAAGAAATGAGAAGAAGTGGAGCCCCACATCTCAGCCTGATGCAGCTACAGAGCGGCCCTGAGCTCTCATATCCCTTCTTCTGCCTCCAGGAAAGGATTCTGTCCTCGGGGAGTCAGGAGAGGGCCGGGGCCAGCCAGGGAGCTCACTGGGGGAGGAAGCTGGGCCCCGGGGCCACCCGACCCAACCCCAGGTGCCTCTGCTCTGTCGGCCTCCGTCTGCCCTTCTGCAGGCTGGGAGAACAACCTCAGGCCCCTGGGAGAAGAGCTAAAGAAGTAAGTAGCTGGGGGCTGGGCTTTATGGTCACCCATTCCCTAGACATTTACTAGGCAGTACTATGTGCCAGAGACTGACCTAGGGATGCAGCTGAGAGCAAAATGGGCAAAAAACCTCTGCCCTTGTGGACCATAAACAAATATAAATTCACTTGTTAAGTGCTATAAGAAAAATAGAGCCAGGAACAGGGAAAGGAGAGTAACCGGCCAGGGGAGGGGCTATCTTAGATACTGTGGTCAGAAAGGCCTTTCTGAAGAGGGGACAGCTGGGAAGACACCTGAATATACGGAGGATGTGGGCCAAGTGGATATTCAGGGAAAGACAGTTCCAGGCACAGGGGCCAGCCAGTGCAAAGGCCCTGAGGGGGGCTGATGCCCAGAGTGCTAGAGGAGCAGTGAGGAGGCAGGTGTGGCTGCAGCAGAGAGATGGAGGGGAGAAGAAGGAGAAAAGGCCAGGGGCAGCGGGAAGGGAAGCAGGCATTCTGTCCACCATTAGGGGGTCTTGGATCCTGGGGGCACCCTGGGACAAACCTCTCCTCTCTGGTTTCCCAGATACATAAGCAGAGCCAGCACCCCCAACCCCGGTACCACAAATCTTTCCAGCTGGCCAAGCTCTTCCCCCATGCCCTTGGAGCCTCCAGGAGGAGAGCGTTCCTTTTACAGCAAGAGAAGATGAGTCCAGAGATGTCACATAAGCAGTGGGATGAGGAGGCGCCCCAGCCTTGAGCCTCGGCTGCCGGCCCTGCCAGTCTCCATCCGTGCTGCTGCGCTGACCCGAGCCATCTAAATGCAAGTCTGACGCTCAGCCCTGGGAGCTGGAGCTGGAGGTCAGACCAGCAACAGCTTGACTCACCAGTGTCTCCGGAATACCAATAGGGGACACAGGGACACAGCGGGGAGATGAGGCTTTGGAACTTCTCACTGAGCAAGGGACAGGATGTCCTCCAAGGAGCAGGCTGACCCATCCACCTCCGCCCCTTCCTGCCCTGTCACCACCCAGAGCGGCCATCTTGTTCCCACCCTAGGAGCACAGGCCTGGATGTGCCCAGGGTGCTGGAATCGCTCACCAGAGAGGACCAGAACCAAAGCCCCCAGGCGACCCCATGGAGAAGCCCCTGTCGGGAGCTGGCCTGTGTCTTTCCTGCCACATGCACCAGAGGTGGGGGAACCACCTGCTGGATTCAAATTCCACTCCTGCTATTTTCCAGCTGTGTGACCTCAGGGGAGTTGCTTAACCTCTCTGATCCTCAGTTTTGCCATCCATATAATGGGGTTGTCTTGAGGGCTAAATGAGTTAACATGCATGAAGTACATAAAACAAGAGTTGGTCCATAGAAGGACTCCATCAATATTACCTACTAATATCATCCATTCTCCCATCACCCACACAGGGGGCCTGGGCTGCTACTCAGCACTTCTGTTTGACCTTGAGCAGGCCCCTTAACTTCCCTGAGCCTTTGTTTTCCTCATCCGTGAAATGGAGTACTACGGGAAGTAAACTGAGGCTCACATGGGGCCCCATGGGCAGAGAAATGCTGTGGGGGTATAAAAGTTTATACCCCAGACCCCAACCCTGAGGGGGCCCAGGATGGTGGAGGGAGGCACTGAGGACAGGGCCACGTTGGTACCACCCCCTCAGGCTGTCTCTCCCTCCCAGGGTGACCAACTCCCATTGTCTCCAGAGCCCAGGCGGGGCCTGCTCGGCATGCCTAATCCCAGGTTTTACTCAGCAGCCTGGCCAGGAGGAGGGAGTCCAGGTGTTCAAAGATGGGGAAATGCACCAGATGCCTCACGCGAGCATGCACACACACAAAGGCCTGTCCATGGACACCCCTACCGAGGCAGGCCCCCCAGTCACATGTCCAGAAAGTCACATACATGCAGCCCTCACCCCGACGCGTGTCCCGCCCTAGCTGCCTTTGGAGCTCACCTCGCTGCCCGGGCACCACCAGCCCAGCTGTCCTGTCCTAGCCTCATGCCTGAACATGACCTACAGCTACTGTTAGTGCCCAGCCTGGTCCCCGCGGGCCCTCCAGCTCTCCCTGGGCCTCCCTAGGAGTGGCCAGGCGACAGGGAGGGCTGCAGCCCAGGCAGCGGGACCCCAGATAAGAGCCCTCTGATGTGTGTTTCTGAGCTCCCACATCCGTGGGCCAGAAGCACATTCCGTTCTGGCAGCGACCAGGTTTATCCCCATTTCACAGGTGAGAAAACCAAAACCGAGCAGCTGAGTGACTGTCCCGGGCTCTCACAGCCAAGAGGCAGCCAAGCCAGAGCCCAGATCTGTCTTCCAGAAGCTGTCCATTAACCACACGCTGCCACCTCGGTGATTCGGGCGGCGGGGAGACAGACAGCCTGGCTCCAAGTCCTGCTCCAATACCTCGCTGTGTGAGCTTGGGCAAGCCACCTCACCCCTTGGAGCCTCAGTCCCCCCTCTGTAAAATGGGAACAGAAACACCGGACCCACAACGTTGTCACCAGGATTCGTGATAGTGCAGGGAGGCTGCCTGGTACAGGGCAGGGCTCAACCAAGGGCCACAGGATGGCCTGGGGCATGAGCCACATGACTGAATGATTGGGGTGGGAGAGCACGGCGCTGATGGGGGCTGGAAAACGCTGGCCAGGGCTTTCTTTAAGCCCCGTGCCAATGGCCCAACCCATGCTGAGTGCTACACAAGAGCTCCCCACCCAGAGGACAGAGCTGGGTTCCGGTCCCTGGTCCTCCACATCCTGCTTATATGGCCTTGGGGAAATGACCTACTCCTTTGGGCCTCAGTTTCTTCATCTATAAAATGGATGCAATGGTTGCAATGTGCTCCCCTGCAGGACCCCAAGCCCACACAGCAGGCACCCAGGACTCGCTGGCCAAGCTCTCCCCTCAGCTCTGATGTGCATCCTCTGCCTGGCAAGCACGCCCTCCCCTCTACTCCGCTGCCTGGCACTCCTCTGAGCAACTCACAGATGATTTATACTTCAGAGGACGAATCAATACCATATACGGCCAAAGACATCTTTAATCTTTCACAGGGATTAGGCTACAAGGTACAGCGGCCTCTTTCTACAGGCCGCTCAATTCTGATTTCAATTTGGCCAGCTGGAGCGCGGCTTTCTCTCTCCTTTTCTTTTCACCCACCCAAAGACGTTCCTGCAAATCAAATTTCATTTAGCAGGTGGGGTGGGGAGGCCTAAAGGCCCATACACGAGAGCGGGCCCAGCCAGGGCCCCCGGGCTGCAACCGGAGACAGGAGGAGGGTCTAAGGACGTGGGAGGTCAGGCCTTCGGTGATGGGATGGGGTGCAGGGGGCGCTGTGAGGGACACCTGCGCCAGGCCAGGAGTGCCCCTGAGCCACAGGCCCTGGCAGCACAGCTAGTTCTCTTCTTTTTCTAGAATTCCTCTGTAAAAGTCTTGAGTAGACTATATATTCTCTGACCACCAAATGCCTGATTAGATGCTTGTGGAAAATTCAAACAATAGTCCAGGTTTCAGCCAAAATGCAATACCTAGGGACGCCTGGGTGGCTCAGTCGGTGAAGCGTCTGCCTTCGGATCAGGTCAGGATCCCAGGGTCCGGGGATCAAGCCCCGTGTCAGGCTCCTTGCTCAGTGGGGAGTCTGCTTCTCCCTCGCCCTCTGCCTGCTGTTCCCCCTGCTTATGCTCTCTCTCTGACAAATAAATAAATAAAATCTTTTTTTAAAAAATGCAATACCTAGACCTCACCCCAATCCCATGCCTCTCGCACCCTTAAGATGTCAGCAAGTGTCCCTCCAGGCTGTGTGTGTGTGTGTGTGTGTGTGTCTGTCTGTCTGTCATGCCCCCATCTGTGGGAAACGGGGGCAGAAGATGGAGTGATGACTACAAAAGCAGTTATGACCTCTAGCCCTGGAGCCAGACCGCCTGGCTTCAAATCCCTTCTCTACCCGTTTACCTGTATGACCTGGGGCTGGTTATTATTAGGCCTCTCTATGCCTCAGCTTCCTCCCCTCTACAATGGGCGTGTCTACCTCACTGGGTAGGGAGGATTACCGGGGACAACAGGTGTCAAACGTGTGCTCAGCAGCTGTGAGGCACATAGGGAGAGCTACGTGAGTACCAGGAGTGGCTTCTAGGTCCCTCGTGCCCGGGACTGAATACCACGGAACACTAAAATTCTAGGCTTTCTGTCCCTCCTTCTAGCACCTTTGTCCCCAAATCCTGTAGAGACTGCACCTGAAACAGAGGGCGGTGGGCTCGTTTGGGAAAGGATGCCAGCCATTGAGGACAGGAACCCGGCAGAGTGCGGTGGGTGGGGCCAGCCCCGAGAGAGGGGCCGGTGTCGTGTTGGAGCAAAGCAGTAAAGGACATGTGGGCAGCCAGAGGGAGGGGGCTGTGGCACCACCAGGGGGCCCCAGGGAGCTGCAGCCCACCTGCCTGGAGGTGGGAGTGGGGGCCCATCCGGCCCATGCTCCCCTCTGCCTGGCCAGCCGCCGGCGTGGCGAGTGGCCTGGAGCCCGGCCATCAGTCAGGGCCGCCCCACTTCTGTCCTGTCTACCAGGCTGCAGGCTCCCGAGCTGCTCTGGCTGTACAATTAAAGGGGCTTATCTGAGACTTAGAGCAGGATGATGCCCACAGGGTGTTACCAACGCCAGCCTCTGGATACTCTGTGGTTCCCCAGGAAAAGCAATTAGAGTCCCAGGGTTATGCGCGTATAAATATACAGATGCCATCCTCCAAGGTCGAGGGCACCACAGTGAGCTATTTAGAGATAGAGCCTTGGGAGAGGCCAGGGGCCCCTCTGCCAGGAGCTGGGTCTGTCAGGAGGGGAGGAGCCTGTCTGCTTCCCCCCAACACCCCACCCTCAATGAACTGGCCTGCTTGGCAAGGCTCACCCAGACCCAGGTGGAGCTCCCGACCCAGGGGACTGACTGCTGGGCTGGCCACCCACCGCCACGGCCCCGTGTGCAGGCTGCCCTCCTCAGCATGGCCATCAGAACTGACCCTCTGAGCGGGCCAGGCTTCAGGCTGCCTGGAGTGTTAACCCTTGCTGTGCCAGCCTCTTATTGCTTGTGGATATCTAAAACTTTATCCCTGGAGTTTCTGAGGACAATTAAGGGAAGGCGGGGAGCTTAATGGGGGGAAAGGTGGCTTGTGGTAAGGGGTTGATGGGGGGTGGGGGAGACCTCCAAGAGAGCACATCTCTTTCCCAGCTCCTCACATCCCACCCACAGGCACCTACTTCCCTGAAGCCACAAGGAACCAGCATGGCGCTGCCCGCCCCGGTCTCTCCCTCCCACCACACAGCCAATGCCTCACACAACCCTGGCTCCCAGGACCTGCTGGCTGAGCCCCATCTCCCGGGTCTCTGAGACCCTCACTAAACAAAACCACCTCCACCCCATCCCTTCTCCCTCTGCCTGAGAACAGCACTGTTCCACTGGATCCCATGCCAGAAATATCAACAGTCCCTCCGTCTGCCTGGCCTGGTCGGCAAAAGTCATTCCCATCCACCCCCTAGTCCTGGGGGCTACCTAGCCGGCCAGCAAGGCCACGGACAGCTCCCCAGGGCCCAGGGGACAGACGGAGGTCCACGAGGGGAATGGCCCGGGGCAGGCAGAGCCCACGGCAGGACCCAGAGAGCCTCTCAGGCAGCGACATCCCCCTGTTCCCGAGCATGACTCACCATCCTCCCGGGACTTCTGGATGAAGGCCTCCACGCCGCTCTCGCCGTAGCTGCCCTCCGAGGCCAGTGTGGACACGTAGTTCCACTTGAGGGCGCGGACGATGTCTACCATGGCCTGGGCCTGGTACGTGTCTGAGGGCACCACGCGGGAGAAGAAGTCGTAGCGGCTGTTGTCACTCAGGTCAGGGGCTGTTGAGGCGTAGCTGATCTGGGGGATCTGGGGGCGAGAGGGGCCGCTGATGGGGGTGGCTGGCATCCCCACCGTGCCCAGCCAGCACCACACCACTCCACAACAGTCTCCTTCCCATCCCCATAGCCTCGGGACTGCCCCAGCCCTTCTTGTCCTGAGGGAGACCCTGTGATGTGAGCTAGGTGGGTCCTAGCCCGCTTGACACAGGAGGAAACTAAGGCCCAGAAGTGTGAGCACCTGGTTGGGTAGCCCTCCCCTGGCTCCAGCCCAGAGTCCCAATGCTTCCCACCTCCTCTCAGCTGCCCCCACCGCCAGGCTTCCCCATGTCCTCCCCATCCCCAGTGGGAGTGAGACTGACATCAGGGTGAGAAGTGACTGGCGCATCAGCATCAAGCCCTCCTCCTCCAGAAGTGTCCCAACCAGCATCACCTGGGTCCTGTGTCTGGTGGTCCCCCAAACACACACACACACACACACACACACCGGGGAATCATACAGGATTACACACATAAACACACACTGGAGCCTCTGGGTGCCTCCATTTACAAAAGGGCTGGAAGATCCCAGCAGGGGAAAATCCCTAGGTAGATGACACAGTTTAGACTGTGGATGGGGTGGGGATGAGGGTGTCAAGAGGGGCCCTGAGAGGTCATTTGGCCCATCACCCTCCCCCAGGCAGCCCCTCATGTCAGCACCCAGCAGACGCCGAACTCACAGCTCCTTCGTCCTGCCCAGCTCAGAGGAGACAGAACCTGGGTCCCCACCATTATCCCACATCCCTGGCCACCCAGAGGATGGAATCACAGGAAGACAGAGTGGGTGAGGTCCCCAGGAAGTCCCTTTCTCCACAGCCTGGGACACAGGGTCCAGACAGGCCTCCATGGCAGATCTCAGCACCCTGCCCCCAGCCCTGGTGCTCCCAGCCACAGAGCACTTTTGTGCCCCCACAGACCTCACCTGGGCCCTCTCCATGCAAAGGTGAGATGCAGAGCCCTTAAGCTGCCCTTCTTCCTATGGCTGACATCCAACCCAAGGACAAAAACCTCCTGGCCAGTCTGGCCACTGAGGGTGGGAAATGTTCCAGAGGACAAGAGGATTTGGGGTGCCCCATGGACAAGTGGTTGCCCACCTGGCCTATGCCTAGGGTGTCCCCATCCCCAGGGACAGCAAGGGTCCACCTTCCATGGAGGACGCCCATGAGGACAAGGACATGGCCCAGCTCGGCCCCCCGTGATGCCCCCCAGGTGGGCCCCAGCAGGCCCCTCATTGTCTCCCCTCACTGAACTCACTCAGGAGAAAGGGAAAGATGGGGTGGGGAAAACAGATGATGGCTTGTCCAGATTCGCTGAGCAACTAAGGGTAACCCCAAGCCCTCTCATTGTAGCTCTTGTGGTCTTTCTAAGATGGCATATAACCCCCATGGCACTGTTTGTAAGAGCAAACCTTTGGAAATAATCTGGTAAAACAAACAAACAAACAAAAAAACCCACAGCCCCACAAGGAATACTACTCAGCCGTGAAAAAGATCCTGGGAGCTTTCCATGCGAGGCTCGGACAGCTCTCCAAGACCCACAGCAGGAGCAAAGCAGCAAGGCCAGCTCCATGCGTGAGCAGCACCCCGCCTATCATGGGAGGGGGCAGGATGGACCCTCCCCACTCTGAAACAAAACAGCCTCCGGAGAGGGAACTGGGTGGCTGGGGGACAGGGTTGAGGGGAGAGCCTTCCCTTGGTACCCTTTGCATGTTTTACATGCAGAATCATGCAAACATACCACCTGCTTGGAAAACCACAGTATAATCTTCCCGAGCACCTGCATCCGTCCCCTCTCCTACCTGTGTCCATGGCCTCCGAAAACTCGCCAGTCCCCTCTGCCGTGGAGAGCGCTGAGCATGAACACAGTGCCCTCTAGAACGTGGTCTCTGTTTGGACAGTTGGTGGTTAATTTTAGGAGCGTCATTATTTTTAGGGTCAGCCAAGGGGTATCATGGTTTTAGGGGTTGGTTGGTGTTTAAGGGTCTGTCATTCAGAGCAACGTCTCTCAGCCTCAGCACTACTAAGACTTTGGGGGTCTGATTCTCTGTTGGGGGGCTATTCTTTGCACTGAAGGATGTTCGGCAGCATCCCCATCCCCTACCCACTAGATGCCGGTAGCACACCCCTCCCCCAGTCACAACAACCAAAAATGTCTCCAGATATTGCCAAGGGCCCCCCGGGGTGCAGAACCATCCCCAGTGGAGACCTACTGCCTTAGAGGTCTGTACTGAAACACTGAGGGGTGCGGTGATATGATGAGGTTTGGGGTTCGCTTCAAAAGCATCACAATGGGAGCACATGGAAGAAGAAAGAACGATGGCCAAGAGCAGACAACTCTGAGTCCCATGTACTTGGGGGCTCACCACCCCATTTGTTTTGCATGCAGCCGAAATGTCCGGATTTAACACATTTTTAACAATAAAACAAAACAAAATCAACAGCACCCTTGGGGCATGCCGCTGAACAGAAGAGCCCCAGATTTGGAGCTGGAGCCAGAGCAGGTGTTGGAGAGGGCAGGGCCAGGACCTGCCTTCCCAGCAGGTCCCGAGAGAAGACAGATTTGTTTGTCAGCTTCCCTCGGTGCCTGGTCCTCAGCAAGGAGTGCTCATCACACGCCCGGGAACCCACTCTCTTCCTAATTAGAAGAAGCTTGTCTCCTACTTCTGATGTTTTCTCCCAACACGGCACTGGAGTCAAAAGGGACTGCATCCAGCAGAGGGGCAGGAAGCCCAGGGAGGTCTCAGGGCCCCTCACACAGAAGACTGCTCACTCATCACCCCTCATTCCTCCCTCCAAGCCACCTCCCACCTCTCCTCTAGTTCAGGCACTCAGCATGGGCTGGGATGGCAGATGGACAGATGGATGTCCAGATATTAGGACCCAGGCCCCCGCCCCACTGCACACCCCAATTCCCACAAAGGGTAGGAGGGCCAAGCATGGAGTTCCCGCAGGGTAAGCGGGTAAGCGGGTCAGTCTGCAGGGGTGCCCTGGCCTCAGATTTCAGGCGCACAGGAAGGACCTTTGTTCTGCCAACAACTCCCCAGACCCTGGAAAAGGGACCCAGCCCTGAAGTGGTTAAGAGGAGGAGAGAGCCGGGCGCCTGGGTGGCTCAGTTGGTTAAGCGACTGCCTTCGGCTCAGGTCATGATCCTGGAGTCCCGGGATCGAGTCCCGCATCGGGCTC